CACAGCCCACGGTGTATATTTGTTATTATTTTTATCTAAACTAGGTTCACATTCAGAGATCAAGCATGTTTTCTGTATGTATATTCCTAAGAAACACCAGTATCCATATACCTGCAGTCAGCCTTTTTTCAATTGATTCCATTTCATTTTCTCTGAAAAATGCCTTAGGAAACTTGACTCTTACTACTTTACTTCATTTGTGAGTTGTTTATACAAATTTATAATGAATGAATCAAATTTATTCTAGTTTCCATAAAAGAAGAAACATGGGTTTCTCAAATTTTCTAGGAAGTTAAACCCTAAAAGTAACAACCACCACACACACACACACACACAAATTAACAATATGCAAATGCTCATTTGAACATGGAAAACATGAATTTGTCTAGTTTGATTTGTGTAGTTACTATTTTGCTGCTAATTTCAAATGGGCTACATTTATTTAATCTATTCTATCAATAGCTTTTAAGAGAGGCACTATAAATCAAAGTTGGCATTGTGCATCTTGATACAAATTGATGTACAAACTTGAAAACAGTATATTTTTTCCTTTGCATTAAGTATGTTATAATAATAAGAGCTAAGCTAGCTCATATGGTGTAATCAATCATATGTTAGTAGTTGGTAATGGTATTTATCTTCTCCCTGCAATCAGTGAATCCAGCTCAGAACAGCCTTTCCATATAAGTATCGTCATTCCCTCAGGGTCCTGAAGCAGATGGCCTGGTACTTTATTTAAGTTTTACAAAAGTTATAAATTCTGATAGAAATATATTCACTGTTTAGAGATGCAAGAAGCATAATACTATAAGCACCATTTATTCTCTGATAATACTGAACCTGACTTCTCCTTTAAATAGTTTAGTTGCTGCAATTGAGCATTGTAATTTAGAAGTTGTTGTTGTTATCATTGTTTAGATTTATAAATTTTATATGTGTAAAGGACATTGTTCATTTTTCCTAGTTTAGTGATTAATTGAACTGCTCACTACCAATCTCTCAAGCAGAAAGTTGCCATTCTGCTGCACTTCCTGCTGGTATATAGCCTACAATTGGTTTTGTTCCATAGTTCAACATCATGCTTGTGTAATTATTTCATATTAGTGTTAAACTTTGTGGAAGCATCAAAGGACCGCCTTCACCAAAGCATGAAGAATATTAACATTCTCAAAAAATACAACAAAAAACATTATCTTTTCAAATGCACTACATAGTATACTGATAATAACATAACTAAAATTTGGTTTATTTGGTCATCTTGAAGTTATTAAAGCATCCCAATTTTTACTCTTAAAATTTCAGTTAACTATCAAAAGAAGATAATTTGGTAAAGTACAGACATTCATTCATTTACTCATTCTTTTTTTTTTTTTAAGCATATTTATTTTTAGAGAGAAGGATAGCATGCAGGCAGGGGAGAAGTAAAGAGAGAGGGAGAGAGAGAATCCCAAGCAGGCTCCATGCTGAAAGCTCAGGGCTGGAACCCATAAATTATGAGATCATGACCTAAGCCGAAATCAGGAGTTGGACATTTAACCAATTGAGCCACCCAGATGCCCCTACTCATTCATTTTTAAATTTGTCAATGTTTAGTGAATATTGACTATGAGTCAGAAACTTTGCTAGATGTTAAGAGATTTTTAAAAATGGGGAAAAAAGAAGGTCCCTTTTCTGAAATAGTTTAATAGTATATAGATTGGCATCTGTTGTAATGGATTTTGAGTCTTGCCTTCCCTGGAATTCATTAATTTAAATCCAAGTTTATACATTACAAAGATTTGAGAGTGATCCAATTCTCCTAAAAGATTTGTTCTGGAGGGGTACCTGGGTGGCTCAGTCGGTTAAGCGTCCAGCTTCGGCTCAGGTCATGATCTCATGGTTCATGGGTTTGAGCCCCGCGTTGGGCTCTGTGCTGAAGGCTAGCTCAGATCCTGGAACCTACTTCAGATTCTGTATCTCCCTCTCTCTTTGACACTCCCCTGCTCACGCTGTCTCTCTCTCTGTCTCTCAGAAATAAATAAAACATTAAAAAATTAAAAAATTAAAGATTTGTTCTGGGAAATGGCTGCTTTTGGATGGAGTCATGTCCCCAACAAGTATTTTAGCTTTTCCTCTTTCTTCTCTCTTATTGTTTACCTTGTATTAAACTATCACAGCAAAGTGAATAAGAATATTTCTTGAATACATTTACTTGAATCTTAGTAATTTTTTTTATTATCTAAGTAAATTATTTGGGGCTGGGGGAAAACTGTATGCCTTGTTCCTAAAGAAGCATAGACAAAATTTAAGTACAACAAAACATATTTTTAAATTTTATTGCAATATTATTATTTCATAAATATACTCATATAAAGAATAGAAAAAGGATAATTTTATTATTCACTTTCTCTGAATTCTTTACAATTCAGAATATTTCTGTATGTCTTTATAGAGAATTAGTATAATTTGGCTCCCCTGGAGGCTTGGGAGAGTGAGTATTTGAACTGGTTCTTCAACATGGATGCTTTTTAAAATCTGATGGCTTAAACATTTTTTAAGTCCAGGGTATTAGAACAATATAGATTCTAACATATTATACAATAGTTTCATAATTTAATATGGAAGTTTACTTTTTTTTTCATTTAAAAGGATCTCTTAATAGATTTAAGTATTCATTTGACTTTCGCTGTTTACATAACATTGTACATGTCACTCTTGAAATGCACCTTTTGAAATGTAGAAGTAAAGTTCTGTAAATATAAAATAGCTACCTAATCAAGTTTTCATATCACTATCACACTATTTTTGAGATCAGGTGTCAAAACTAAAACTGCAAGTGAATTTTTTGAGACAGACTGTTAACTTCATTTAGAATGGCAGATTCTTTCCTCCCAGAAAATTACTTCCCTTTCCCTTCACAAATAATAATAGGCAAAATATATTCAACTTAAATTGACATTTCCTCAGATATAGTTTAGTCACTTAGACACCTGATAACTTCAGCTTTCGAAACCTGTAAAAGGTAATCATCCCTTTTTGGGGGCTTGAAAATATTCCTCTTAAAGACTTTGGCTCCTGATAGATTCCTTTATTATTCCTTATAGAATCGTCAGGCTGTTAAATGCTAGAATAATATATCTTTATAGTTTTAATTCCTATCATTCAGGAATGTTAATCTAAATAATTCCTGTAAGGAGATTTGGATTTCTTGTATAATTACTTTAGAGAGTGTCTTTTGATGACATTTATAAATTTATACCATGAATAAAGAATATTTTGAATGAAGACTTTGGAATTTCTCCAGTTTTTTACCTATAAAGTAAGAATAATAGTATCTGAACCAGAATGTAGTTTTTAGCAGAAAATGAAAGAACAGATAACGTACTTAGTATTTTGTCGAATATCTAGTGGAGAGTTAATGTATGTTTTTATACTATTGTGCTGATTTGTACTTCCTGATGGTTGGAGCAGGTAGAAATGGTGCTGTTTGACAAAATGTTGATAAATCTTAGTATTACTTTAAAAAAAAAGGACCACATATATAACAAAACTTAGTTAATAATATGAGAAAAGTGGTAGGTAGAACCTCTCACTACCTTTTAAATGAATTCCTGTCTGTACGACATGGAATTTAAAAAATGTGAAGATAGTGAATAGCAATATTAATTAATTTTAAAAAATTCTAGTTAAATTTCAGGCTAAAAATAGAGTTGATAAGACACTGCTTAATTCTGCTTTGTGAGTAGATGATAGATAATTAAAGCTGACCTGCTTTCTGCCAGATAGTGTTTCTGATGGGTAGTGAAATTACGTAAACTAAAGGAAAAAAGATGGGATCTTAAATGAGAAAAAAATCATTTTTCATGGTACAGTAACGATTAAATGACCAGAAATCCAGTATATTATGCTGGATACAGCTGATGGCAGGTGTGATTTTATTTTCAGAAAATCTATATTTTGTAAAGATCAAAAATAAAGAATGAGTTTTCAAGCTAATATATGCTTTAAGAATAGCATGTAATTAATCTAGAAATGGAAAAAGACAATTTAAACCTGTAAATAGTATTTTTATTTTTCATTATTCTGTAATAATTCTTTGAATCCAAACTGAGAAGTGCTCACTGCAGTCCAGTATTTATCTTTTGTCAAGTGGACACTGTGAAGCACAAACTGCTTTAGTAAAGACTGTCTTAAAACTAAAAATTATTCTGATCACTTGTATTCTGACTAAATCTAGTTAGAACAGATGTTATATTATAAAAATATTATTTCATGTTTATTACTTCTACATCCATGATTGAACCAAGTCTTAAAATTTAAGTCTGGAGTTAGGAAATGGGGGGAGAAGATAATGGAAAATATGTCCTTCAAGTTTAGCAAATACTCATATGTAAAATAACATCAATTTGGAAAAAGAACATTGGGTATTTTTATTTTCATTTACCTATCCTGGTTCACATTGTATTAATACAAAATGTTTCATTTTTTGGAACAGTTTGTTTAATCTGTTCTTTACAGAAATGTACGAGTTAACACCAGTACTTCTAAGAAATAATTAGGGAACATTTTTTTTAATGTCCCCTCTCTCTAATTGCCCCATTTTTCATTGCTTGGAACAATATATATTATGCCTACATTGCAACTCATTTCTGGGTACTCAAAATACCTTGAAATCCACTAATTTTATGACCTTTTTCAATGTTTAAATAAATATTTTTCTGAAGTGTTCAATACAATATATTACAAAATTCCTAAATAAGTATATTTAATCAATTTCTTCATTTAAAATTATTTAAGCATTAATGTATATAATTTAAAGCACAAACAACACCTTCAAATGAGTTGATCATTTTAATGAATATGTATTGCTGTTTTCATCTGGATGTGTACTAAGCACTTAGCAAATGCATTACTGTAATGAATTTCTTAGTGTTTACAGATAACAGTGCTTTAATAGTTTTGTGTTTCTGTTACTGTATTATAGCATTTCTAATCCTTCCATTTCTTATCTTATCTTACAGGAAATAAATGATGTGGATGTTCAGGAACTTGTAAGAAGGTCAATTGGAAGGTTAACAATCATTCGGCAGACATTTCCAGTCCCCCAGAATATAAGTCAGCGATGTTTCCGTGGCAACCATCGAATATCTTCAACGTTGTGTGATCCAAAGGATCCATTTGCTCAGAATATGGAGGTATATTCTAAGTATTTCTCTCAAGGTGCTTTGTTTGCCAGTCGTAGAGAGAGCTCTCTGAGTTGTATTAGATTTAGAATTACACATGTTAACATTTTCCTATCTATTCTTTTCCTTTGGAAATTTACTAAGTCTGATGCAAGGGTACAAAGAATTTGTGTCTTTAATCTTTTTGACCTCATCATAGCAAAATATCTACTTGTTTTAAAAAATTAAATACATAAAAGTTATTTCCTTCTCCGCAAGTAGATCCATGACATTCACCATGTTAGAATTTGTGAGTGATATACCTTAATGCCAGATTCCAAATTATTAAGCTAATAAATTTGCTTGTTTTTTTTTTTCTGGTAAAACAAGGGCATAGAAATGTATTTTTCAAAGAATACTCTCTAGTTTCAAGACATTCACCAAAAAACTGTTTAGAAATGCAAAAGAGTCTGTAGTGCTATATAGTCCTGTCCAAACCAGAAAGGATATGGCTGAAACCTTTGCTATTCCGAATATAACAAAGAATTTGAGGGTAAATAAATAAAAACTCTGAGCAACAAAATAGAGAACATCAAGTCCCTGCAGTTTACTCATAAGGATGTCCCTTAACTACTCACCCAGAGTCCATCGTCTTTTTCTTAAGGAAAATGCTATCAGATTTTGTTTTATTTAGTTTTATTTCCTTTGCACTGGAAATCTTAATATGTCCATTTGAACAGGGTGTAAAAAAAAAAAAGCAGACACATCGACAATAGTAGGAAGCCATAAGGAGTACTTTCTAGCAAGGCAAGAAACAGGAAAAATAAATTGATAAGATATGCTAATTCAAATATCCTATCAATGTAGACTTGTCTTATAAAAACAACTCTGTGTCATAAAACAGTTCCGAAGGGTATAATTGTAGTATACTGCTAGAGTAACAACATGTAAACAATAACTCTGAGACATGAACAAAAATTAAAGTAATGGTCAATTTCAGAAGTCAGAAAAATATATGTTTTAGTAAACTATTCCTTCACCATGTTTACTATCAAAAATGTTTTAGTGCTTAGAGATACTCAGTTTGAACATTTTAGAAATATGACTCTATGAGAACTAGTTCATCCCAACACTACTAGATAAATAAGGTGATTTTGTAAAATGACCCTGTCTTTTAAAAGCCATCTCCATACTTTTTCTATCTTTGGTCATCTTTGGATTTTCTTTTTTAGATGAATTACTATTGATACAATCATTTCTTCATGCTTAACAGTCAGCCACTCTAGGGGCGCCTGGGTGGCTTAGTCGGTTAAGCGTCCGACTTTCGCTTAGGTCATGATCTCGCGGTTCGTGGGTTCGAGCCCCGCGTCGGGCTCTGTGCTGACTGCCAGCTCAGAGCCTGGAGCCTGTTTCAGTCTGTGACTCCCTCTCTCTCTCTCTGACCCTCTCCTGCTCACGCTGTCTCTCTCTCTCCTAGAAATAAATAAAAACATTAAAAAAAAAAAAAAAAGTCAGCCACTCTAAGGAGCAGCTATATTTACAAGGTAGCTAGCTCCAGGAGCATTGCCCACAGAACTCTGTGTTCCCAACTAAGCTTTAGGCTTTTTTAGAATAGGTCTCCTCCAGGACCTGGTATCATAAAATCCCATTAAGGGCACACCTATCTTTATTTCCTCCATCATGCCTACCACACTGCTTTGCTTCTTCATGAATATTTGTGGATTTGAATGTAATTAAGGAGATGGCAGTGGTTAAACTAAGCCACTCTAAAGCCTAAACAAAACATGTTTAACTTTTATTGCCGGCCTTACAGATATGCTTATAATGACTAATCTTTTCATACTACTTGGTCATGACTATGACTGATATGAAAATGATAGAATCCTAAATGGAAAAAAAAAACATAGAATTTTGATTAAGACATTTTGAAATATTAAAGGCTTCCCCTGTCAAAGGAAATGGCAGGAAATGTACAAATGGGAAAAGTAGAAAGTAATGCTACAGTATTTTTTTTTTCAAAATTTTATTTAAACTCTGATTAGTTAACATATAGTGTAATATTGGTTTTGGGAGCTTAATTTGGCGACTCATCACTTACATGTACTCAAAAGTACCCAGTGCTCATCATAACAAGTGAGTGTCTTAGTGCCCATCCCCCATCCCACTACCCACTTCTAGCCCATCCCCACCCTCTTCCCTCCATCAATGCTCACTTTGTTCACTATTGTGAAACATCTTTTATGTTTCTTTCCCTCTCTCTCGCTACTTCCTCCCCTTTCCATATGTTTATTTGTTTTGTTTCTTAAATTCCACATATGAGTGAAATAATACGGTATTTGTCTTTCTCTGACTGACTTCACTTAGGATAGTACATCCTAGTTCCATCCACATCATTGCAAATGACAAGATTTCATTCTTTTTGATGGCTGAATAGTATTCTATTGAATATATATACACCAAATCATCTCTATCCAGTCATCAGTCGATGAACACTGAGGCCTATCTGTAGTTTGGCTATTGTTGATAATGCTGCTATAAACATGAGATTCCGTGTACCCCCCTTTGAGTCAGCAATTTTGTATCCTTTTGAGTAAATACATAGTAATGCAATTGCTGGGTCATAGGATATTTCTATTTTTATTGTTTTGAGGAAATTCCAAACTGTTTTCCAGGGTGTCTACACCAGTTTGCATTCCCACCAGCGGACTACACAGTATTTTAAAGCACATTCACCTAAAAGCACAATCTGCCTGATTCAATCAATGGGTTTCTTGAAATCAGAGAGTGAATATTTTATTTGTTTATTTATTTATTCATCTTCATACCCTCAGACAGATATGATGAATTAGGGATGTACAGGAAACACCACGCCTCTTATTCCCACCTTCGTCTTACTCCTGTCAAGCCCACAGATGGAAGAAAATAAGAAAATTACTTATTTGACAGAATAGCTAATGTATAAAAGAAAAAATTGACAGAATCTTTTATATGTGAAAATTTATATAATTAAGAATCTAAATGTAGGGCTGTTGAATTTAAGATGTTCCAGTAAAAGCAGAGCATTTGATATACAGGCTCACCTTGGTGAAAATTTTATCTAACTGAAGTTAAAGGAAACAACAAAAATTATTTATATGCATTAAAAATTTGGGAATAGGAGTTTCCTTCAGAGAAGTAACCCTCTCAACTTGGAGCTCAAAAAATAATTGCAGGTAAATATGACCACAGACAGATTTTTATCTTATCAACTGGGTACTATTAAAAATAGTAAAATAAAGGTATGAAAATATGACTCAAGTGAGCTATAAAAATAGAGGCCCACCTGTAAAATAGAAACCCAAACTATAAAATCACAATAATCAGTATAACAGGGGAAAGGAGTACAGTGGCCTGTGTAGAGATCTTTGGGCTGTTACTTAATTTAATGTACATAGAAAGAGAAGGTTCAGAAAGAACAAAATCCAAGTTTTCCAAATGTTTAAATTAGTGCCAGCAAGACTAAAATGTAGGATGAATTGAAGTTGCAAAATAAATGTTTAAGGAAACGTTTAGCTCTAGAAACAAAGTTTTTAGCAATCTGTGAAGCAAGAAGAAAGTGAGCCATTCACTGCTTGGTGAAACTGATGTTATCTTGGCTGCTAATGGAAAGAAAATAGGAAAGTTCAAAGTTTTTTTTTTGCTTCTGTCATCTCCATCTAATAAAAATTGTCTTCAAATTAGAAAATTTGAATGAAAGTTGTTGTTTTTTGTTTTGTTTTTTGTGTTTTTCCTAAAGTAAGGTTTAGAAAGAGCAGGGATGGTAAGAATATACCTTCCTGTTTTAAAACAAAGCTTAACTAATATTTTTTTTTAGAATAGTAAAGAAAGTGATAAATACAATCACAATATTATAATTCAGATATACTAGAAAAATACTTGATTAGAAGAGCCAAGTACATGACACTGGTATATTCTTCCAAATTTTGAAAAGAAGGAAAAAGGATTCTGACAGAGTGTAGTATACTAAAAGTTGATATTTGGATAAACTGTAAGATGTATTATAAAGTGTATTATTTGGGGTACTTCATATGTGACCACTTAAGAACAAGCACTCCCAAGCCAAATCTTGTTTACTAATCTTGTAGATTGAGAGAATTTTATAAATCTATTTATTCTATGTTGATTTTATGTTGTGTTTGACAGTTTTTAAGGAAAATTTTTGGAAAACATTAAATTCTTATAGGAAAGTGTTAAAAAGTCTAGATAGAGTGATGTCACTCAAAGATTTTCAATAAAGTACTCCTAAGAATAGAAGATAGTAGTAAACACTCTGTTTTAAGATTTTTTCATAAAGAAATTCAAAAAATTCAAAATATGTGAAAGTTTCATTATTATTCTTAAACATTATAGCTTATGGGTTTATTTAAAATTAAAAGTAATTTTTCAGATGATTTACTACTTATTTTTTGATTCTCCAAATCTTTTAGCAATTTTGATATGCCTAGATCATGGCTCAGATATATTTTGTAGCTTTGAGTACTTCTGATATCCATAATTTCTTTTACCTTCAATTTAGGAAGTATGGAACTAGAAGAACATTAAACCATATTGATAAACATTCTACCTTATTGTCATCTGAAAGTACTGTTCTTGGACTTATATTTTCAAATGTTTACCATTACACACATAAAAATAAATAAAGTATGCCTATCGCTTTGTAAATTACATAAAACTAGGAGAGAAACCTTATTCTGGGCTATCTAATCAAGATCGAAATTACTAATACTCACCAAATAATAAATCTAAAAGTTGAAATTTCAAAGAGCCTAAAGTATAGGCTCAAACTCATTACACTAATTCTAGATGGATGAGACCTGGTTTGACAGTTTTTTTTTTTTTTTTTTTTTGTTATTGAGATGAAGGCAAATTTTGTTTGAACAAAGCACAAGTCATATTTGCTCTAAACCATTTCAATGTAATCTTGGTCTCCATGTCAGAGCATGTTGCTATGATCATGAGAGATAACCCCTTGTACTATTCTGTCCTAGTCAGAACATATCTGCAATAATGTCTTGGTTATGAGTTCTAAACTCTGAACAGAAACATAAAAGAATAATAGAAAGAAAGAATAAAAATGCTGAGATGATGGACAGCCTAGGAATTATATGAAATGATGAACAATGGAAGGAAATAGAATGTTTCTGGGCAAGTGATGGATGTTATCAAATATCAGAAGGTTGTCATATAGAAAAGGTGGATACTGAGGGCTCAGTTAAGTCAGAAAACAAATATAATGACAGTAAGAGAAATAATTGGTCAGCTGGTGGGAAAATGGAGTTTAAGATATTAGAGGAGATATGTGTTTGTGTCCAGTAAGTAATCATTGGTGTTGATTGTAGACAGAGTAGAAGTCAAATTCATCTCTGTAGAAATTGCAGTGACTTTTTTTTTTTTTTTTTTTAAATGCTGGGAGATAGTTTGGAATCACTGTGAGAGAGGAGTCAAAGACCTCATGAATACAGAGTGGTCAAGAGACTGGTAGGTGATAGCAGAAAAGGACCCTAAAGTATAGTATAGAAAAGAGCATGAACCTTAAAACAGAACAGGTGCTTTCCTGAGAGAGAAGTCATACAAGGGGTAATTGAAAGCTCATAGAATGTCACTATCTCCTTTCGAACCCACATTTTGGAAGGTGGGCAAATGAATAGAGGCAGTTTTTCTTGAAAGCACCTGTTGTATATATCAGGTTCAAAGCACTCGTCTTTAGGAACAGTGCAGATGCTCAAGGCACATGCCTCAAAACTCACAAAAGAGACTGTGCCACGGCAATGTCAAGATTTGGATGGGACCCAACTTGCCAGGTTTCTCACATCTTGACTTCTGTCAAACATGCCTGATGTTAAACCTGCCTCTCTTTTCTTCATCTTCTTTTATTTGACAACTATTTATTAGAAACCAAATATGTGCTAGGCTCTAGGAAAGAAAAGTACAAAGGGGGAAAATTTGTACTTGATGAACCCCTATCCCAAAGGAACTCATATTCAAGTGGGAAAACCAGATTAAGAAATCTTAGAATTATGATATGTTGCAGTACAGGCATGAGCATGCTATGGGCGACAAAGAAGACTTCCCAGTTAGCCTAGAAACGGGTAGAGTCCTGAGAAGCTGTCAGGGTAGGATTCATCTAACTTCTGACCTGTTAACTGAATATTAGATATTAACTAGTTTGAGAAAGGTAACAAGACATCAAAAAGTATTATTCTAACAATTTTGTATACACACTTAAAGCAATCAGTCAGAGGGAGAAGCCGAATAAAGCTAGAGAGATAAGAGCAAGCAAGATTGAGGCAGCAAGGCAAAGGAAGGTTAAAAGCAGCCAGATGATTGCAAATTATTGAGAAATTGTCAAAAAAATTTCCTTTTGCGTCCTCACAGTATAGTTCAGACTGAATTCTGATTCATCAACTACTTTTATCTTCAAGTCTTCATTCATTGCAGGTTTCAGCCAACCCCCTAGTCTCTCTAGTAATTATTGCGCAGGGTAGGAGCAGGGAGATGAAGGTGAGAATAGCCTGCCTTAATATTTCCTTATAAAGAACGGGGGCACCATCCAGGTGTCCGACTTTGGCTCAGGTCATGATCTCTCGCTTTGTGAGTCCGAGCCCTGTGTTGGGTCCTGTGCTGACAGCTCAGAGCCTGGAGCCTATTTTGGATTCTGTGTCTCACTCTCTCTCTCTACCCCTCCCCTGCTCACACTCTGTCTCTCAAAAATAAATAAAAGTTAAGAAAATTAAAATTATACTTCCCTATGAAGAACAAATTGGTATTTCACATAGTACATGAGAGTATGCAATGTCTCTTTTAAGAAAGGCCTGCCTTCCATTAGTATTATACAAATAAAATGATGTTTAATAAACACAAGTGATGTTTAATAAACACCTAGTGATGAAAGAAAACTCACAAGGCACTGTTTGGAAATGCTTATTAACAGTCTTTTTTAGCATTAAACTGTCATACCAGTAGTTGAAATTTAGTGCCATTTTGTGATGTGGGCAATTTCATAAGATTCCTTCATTATTACTTATAAGCAAAGGGCGATCAACATATTGTCTCTTTTGTTTTCAGGTAAGAAAACTGTGATAATAAGACACTTTTAAAAAGCTGAAGAAATTTGAATACTTTAAGATGGATTTAACTATCATAACTTCATTGATTGCTCATTTTTTTTTACTTTATGTTGCATTTTGCTTTCAGAAAAATAATAAGAAAACATCTAATATCTTCTATTGACTTTGGATATTTCTCAATGTTTATGTTTTCTAAATAAGTTCTAATTTCTTTGAAAAATAAACACTTCTGTAAATGACAGCACAGATATTAGTTCTGTCAAGATCAAGTGTAAGAAAGCAACAGATCATACCAAAAATTTTCATGATTTTTTTTGCAGTTTATGTAGAAGGAAGATAATAACATGATTGCCTTAAGAAGAAAGCATTAATATAAATACATATTCACAGTTATTTATATTTATTTATATGGTTATTTATTCATAATGGTATCTGTCATGTTAATGAATTAGAATGCATGTGTAGACCCAGATAATTTTGTGTAGGTCCTTGAGAATCGTAATTTTATCAATGGCCATGTGTTTTCTCATATATTTCATTACCAAATCCCCATAGACACACACATATATACACACATGGCCGCTTCCTTTTTTTTTTTAGCACCTATGACACTTATTTTATGTGTAAGATCGAGTTGATATTTCTCCATCTGAATAATCAGAATGCAAAAACTTGACATATTCAGAAAATGTATTATTCAGTTTGCCCTTCCATTCTGAAGCCCTTAGATCCTTACCTCTTCAGAAAGAAATAAGGGCCAGTGATTTTCTAAGGTCTGACATTAACAGCCTTGCCTCTGTCGAAACTTTTCTTTTTTTTATCTTCTCTTTCACACCTAAATAAGCTGAAAAAGCAATTGAGGCATACAATCAGACAAGACTTCATTGTCAACGGCAAAATTGCCCAGGAAATGAAAAAGGAAACCTTTTGCTTAATAAATAACCCAGTAAACCAGTCATCTATGACATGAACGGAAGCAGCTGAGCTGATGATTTTCTCCTAATTCTTGATGGTTGGCATCAATGATTCTAATGATCGCTGTCTAATGTCTTTTCAGATTTCAAATCTTTACATATATGATACGGTGCTCCTGCTTGCTAATGCTTTTCATAAGAAACTGGAAGACCGAAAATGGCACAGCATGGCAAGTTTGTCTTGTATCAGAAAGAACTCTAAGCCCTGGCAGGGAGGGCGTTCCATGCTGGAGACCATCAAAAAGGTAACTTTGACTAACATTTCACTCTCCTTAATTTTCAGGGAAAGGGATACAATAAATCATTTTTGAGGGCATATGTTTCAAAAGGATATCTTTCATCACCAAGATTGCCAGTTTAAAGCACAAAACAGTGTAATAGATGAGTGAAATATTAAAAAAAAAAAAAAAAAAACCAAGGTCAGAAACTCACATACATGATAAAACAAGGAGCCCTTACCTATTTGTAAGGGAACTTTATGTGAGTATAAAGTCAGTGGTTGAAATTGTTCGAATTCCATTTGTTATACCATTAAGATTAGAAATACTCAAATTATTTTGGTGTCTGTGGCAAATACAAATACTTGTTTTTTTTTTTTTATTATCTTTAAAATACACCATCAGGGGTGCTTGGGTGGCTCAGTCAGTTAAACCTCTGACTTCGGCTCAAGTCATAATCTCTGGTTTGTGAGTTCAAGCCCCACGTAGGGCTCTGTGCTGATAGCTTGGAGCCTGGAGCATGCTTTGGATTCTGTGTCTCCCTCTCTCTCTAACCCTCTCCCCTTTCTTTCTCTCTCTCTCTCTCTCTCTCTCTCTCTCTCAAAGAAATAAATAAATATTCAAAAAATTTTAAATACACCATCCACTGAGAAAAATAAACACAAGACTTCACTGTTTTTCAATTATATGATATACGGTAAGAAGTTAGAAGCACTGAACTTTAATTTATCTTATAATGAAGATATAATTCATAAGCAGTAATATTTTGCAGTATTTACAAACTATTTTATATATCTGGTATGTTCTACCTCCCCACTGTCAATGTGGTGTTTAGCCTGGCTGTGACCCGCTCTGGCTGAGTACCTGCTCTGTTCCCAGGAGGCACTTTATGCTGTTTAGCTTCTCTCAATGGTTTGAGCATTCTGCAGTATATTAGCCTCTTTGTCATGTCATCCTTGCTGGCATTTTCTGTTTTTCTCACACAGCTTCTTGGATTTAAAATGAAATGATTAATAAAACAAGCAAATGCCTCCTGTACCCTTTACACAAAGAAGACAGACATTTGGAAGTTTATGTTCTTTATTTTACCCATCCTTTTTCTCTCTGCACGTGTTTGCCTTCTTCTCGTGAAACAAAAAGAGAAATAGCTAGTTGAGGGAACGGTGAATGCATTTAGAAAAGCCAGGGGAAAATCTAGACATGTATCATTAGAAGTGAGTGGAAGAAAGAGATGTTACAAATGGAGATTAGCCTGGATCTTTCTCTTGGTATGTTTCCTCTTTGTAAAAGAATCGCTTTAATGAGGATTTAGGCGCTTATCAGCAGAAGTGCTTGAGAATCAAATGCATTGAATATACTGGCAGAGTAAGATAGTTCAAATAAAAAATGAATAAGTCAAATCTAAACTCAAGGTGTTGCCAAGATCTCCCTATCTATGTAGAGATTTGGCAGGTATGAATCCAAGGGAAGTTGTTGAACATGATTATGATCCTGCCAATTTATTAGTTCAGGCTTTGGCTAGGATGCAGAGACCTGAATATATTCATTCTTCTGAAGCTTTCTCACAAAGATAGAATAATAGTTTGGGAGGTTGTTTAGGAAATACTTATTTAGTGAAAGTGTTAGTGGGAAGGAAAGAGAGACAGCATAATATGTAGGTAGTTCTCATGGAACAATACCATATATGAAATGTTGCTGTTGGAAAATATATAATCAAAAGAGTAATAAAATAATTATGACTTTATTGAGGAGAATATTTATATGTTTGTCCTGGTGAGCTTTCTGCCCAGTGGTGCTTTTCAGAGAAATATATTCATTCTGTGTATTTGGAGACTAAGTTTAATGATATATATCATTGCAAATACTTAGTTTCATTATTTTTTAAGTAAACTCTATTCCCAATGTGGGGCTTAAACTCATGACCCGAAAGCAAAAGTCACATGTTCAGTTTCATTAGTTTTTGTTTCACATTTCAAATTGGCTTTAAAAAAAAAAAATGGGGTCATATTACTTTGACTGGTATGAGTGTTCTGGTCATTCCATTCAGATGTCACACATGAAAAAAACCAAAAACATTGAGAGAAAGATTACTACTCATACAGGAACTCCCAGAAGAGCAGAGTGGGCTCAAGAACTTCCAGGCTGGCTTGGGCCAAGCAGCAGGAGTGGGCTGGGCCCAGGTAGTAGCTAGGAGGTGAGACTGGGGAAAGTTCCCATTTACTTGGGCTAGAGATGTTCAAGGCTTAAATTTCCAACTGGTATCAGAGAAGGAGGTGCAAGATGAGCTTTGTTGATCAGCCTGTCCAAATGCGGAGTCATAGGGGAAGGGAGACCAAAGCTTGGAAAGAAATCAGCAGCCAAACATCACAAATGAGGTCAGGCTCCTTATTACAGTGGGAATATTCTAGTAATAAAAATTTTAATTACATTCAAATAACCCCTGCATGTCGCTATTAAGGGCATGCAGTATATACTTTACAAAGCCCCTGTGCTATTGCAAGGAGACAAAGAAGTGAAAGACTGAAGGTCTGTCCCTTAATTTATATATTTTCTAAGGGGGTGAGAGAAAAGAGATAAAAAGCAATGTAGTTGACATAAGTACTGTAAATGTCTAGAACATTTATACACGGGGAGGTAGTGGTTTCCAGTATACTATTGTATTGAAGCTTTACAATTTATTTTATAAAGTGGTAGGATAGGTACTTTCACATTTCTCTTCTTTAAAAAAAAATACAGGTCAATTCTCAAATGTTTGTTTCTTCCGGATATTATCAGTGATCTTTAAGCAATTGTTATTTATATTAATTTTATAGATTATTTTTGAGAAAATGATATTTTTGTAAAATATTGAGTCTAACTATAAATGGACATGGTATCTTTCCATATAACCATCTTTTATAGCCCCTCAATAAGAATTTACAATGTCCTTCATACATATTTTCATTACGTTTATCCTATAATTTTATAAAGTTTTGAGTATGTATGTCTGTGTGTGTCCATGTATGTACATGGTATCATGAATATAATTTTTTCCATTACGTTTTCAAACTAGATATTGTAGGTATGCAAGGTAGTGGTTGATGTTTGATATATTTTGTGATTAAGCTGATCAACTCTTGAAACTTGACTCCTGATTCTCACTTCTTTCTTCATAGTTTATTCTCTTGTCCTTTTCAAGTGGACATTGATACCATCCTCAAGTAAAATGAATGTTATCATCTAATTCTAATATTTTATATGTTTTTTAAACTTTTAAAAAACTTTCCTTGGGGTCTGTCTGAGTACATAACCTGCAAAGTACACCACAGAACCCTGTGTCCTTCAGAGGTGGCCACCTTTCCCTGCTCGAGGTGACGAGTCCAGGTCATCTCTTTCTCAGAGATGTAGAGCTCAGGATTCAACCTCTACAGAAGAGATGCAACTGATGCCAACCTGGACTGCAGAAGCCTTCCATGCAGGACACAGTATTTTCCAGCTCTCATCTGATGCATTCTTTGACTCTTCATCTGGTTTGAATGCTGATTCATCACTAACATATGACACTTCCAGCTCTTGGGTAAAAGAAACCTCAAGCCGTGGTGTTAGTGGCACACCCAGAGGCAGAGACCTGATGTGGGGGTGTACATGAAAGTGTTTGTGGGTGAATTTGCAGGATGAGCCAGCAACAGAGGATACAACAGAGGATACAGTGGCCAGTGAGCAGTCTGTAGGCCAAAAATCTGTGATTTGAGCGACATGTATAAATATGGCAATGTGCCAAGAAAATTTGGGGGATTTTCATCATCATTTTATTGATTCTCTGGCTAAAGAAGAAAAATGCTGCCTTAGATATTGTGGAATCTTTGTATATGCAGTGATAGGGAGATTGATATAACTGGGGAATCATTATATATACATATATACGTATGTAAATAATTATATATATGTATATATACATATATATGTATGTAAATAATTATATCTATGCATATATATAATTGTCAAGTTAGCTAAAATGCAGTGTATACAGTGTGTTCTTGGCTTTAGAATAGAGTCCCGTGATTCATCACTTACATACAACACCCAATGCTCATTCCAAAAAGTGCCTTCTTCAATGCCCATCACCCATTTTCCGTGTCCCCTACCCCCATCAACCCTCAGTTTGGTCTCCGTATTTAAGATTTTCTTATGGTTTGCTTCCTTCTCTGTTTTTTTTTTTTTCCTTTCCCTTCCCCCATGGTCTTCTATTAAGTTTCTCAAATCACATGTATGAGTGAAAACATATGATATCTGTCTTTCTCTGACTGACTTACTTCACTTAGTATAAAACCCTCAAGTTCCATCCATGTTATTGCAAATAGCATGATTTCATTCTTTTTTTTTTTTTAATGTTTTTATTTATTTCTAGGAGAGAGAGAGAGACAGCATGAGCAGGGGAGGGTCAGAGAGAGAGGGAGTCACAGACTGAAACAGGCTCCAGGCTCTGAGCTGGCAGTCAGCACAGAGCCCGACGCGGGGCTCGAACCCACGAACCGCGAGATCATGACCCAAGCGAAAGTCGGACGCTTAACCGACTAAGCCACCCAGGCGCCCCCATTCTTTTTTATTGCTGAGTAGTATTCCAGTGTGTGTGTGTGTGTGTGTGTGTGTGTGTGTGTGTGTATGTGTAACACATTTACTTTATCCATTCATCAGTTGATGGGTATTTGGGCTCTTTCCATAATTTGGCTAGTGTTGATAGCACTGCTATAAATATTAGGGTACATGTTCCCTTATGAATAAGCACTCCTGTATCTTTTGGATAAATTCTTAACAGTGTCATTGCCGTGTTGTAGGGTAATTCTATTTTTAATTTTTTGAGGGATCTTTTTTAATTGTTTGAGGAATCTCCACACTGTTTTTACAGAGTGGCTGTACCAGTTTGCATTCCCACCAACAATGCAAGAAGCTTCCCCTTTCTTCACATCCTCACCAACATTTTGTTTCCTGAATTGTTAATTTTACTGATTCTGACCCTTATGAGGTGGTATCTCAATGTGGATTCTTCT